GGCTGTCAGCTGTGCACCAACCTGACTGCTGCACAACACGACCGATGGTCCCAACACCATTAAGAAGGCAAGAAACTCCACCAATGAACCCTGACAGGCTCACCTGTGAGGTGAAACCATCTCAGGTGACGACATCATGAAGCTGAGAGAAGGCCGAGGGTTTGCAGCTGGGTGGCTACTTACAGGAATCTAAAATATAAGACATAAACATGTAGAGTTATTTATACTTTTTGTCTTTGCTACATAATTCCATATATGTTGCTTCATATGTGGAAAGGCGGTGGTATATATGTACACTGTAGACAGTAGTAAAAATATAGAAGAAACTATTAAATAAGAAGGTGTGTCCAGACGTTTGACTGGTCGTGTCTGCTGGCTTTTACAACCCACAGCAGAAATAATAAGGAGAGATTGGGCGTTGTTTTCGTTTATACATGTGAATGTAAGAAATGGAAGCAACAGCATGACAAACCCAGCCCGACTCTGTTGAAACAGAGCTGAACCGCACCAAAGTCTCATTTAGTCACGGTCACATGACCTGGGTGTTTGGAGCAGTGTTTCTAAACTTCTGCACGTCAGAAGCTCGGCACAGTATCGAAACTTCGATATCGAACATCCTGTCAGTGGGGAGGCGATCAGAGGCTGTGGCTGAACCACAAACAGATTACGAAATATCATTATCTAAAAGTTTTGATTTAATCATAAGCAGATAAGCACGTTTGATAATGAAGATTTCAACCACATCTGTTGCTCTTTCACATCATTGCTTGACGTCACCTTTGCTCTGTGGCTGATTTCATTTCCTATTTTCTCATTTTCGAGATATTTAAGTCCCAACAAGTCCGCGTTCCAAGATGCTGCAAAGTTTCAGCTCGTGGCCTTCGTCAAGGTCAAGATAACAGCCGCGAAACCAAAAATGTCATTAAAGTAATAGTTGTTCTTTACACTACTTACAGCTGTTGCTTTAATGCCTCCAGATCTTATTCACGCATGTTGGAAGTAGGTGAAGCTCAAATGTGTTTCACTGTATTTTCACGATGTCTCGTTTTTTATAACAGTTGTTGGGAACAAACACTGCATTCGTGGTGAAGAGTTTTTGATGCTTTTTGTGTGTTTGTGGTAAAGTTGATGAACAGGTCAGCTGATTTCATGTGCTCTAGTGTTTCATAGAGTGGTGTTATTTAGGATGCTGGAGTGTCTTGTGCAGATGAGGTCATTTTAGGCAACCTATTTGTTGCTTCATAAATGTCAAGCATTTATATAATTATATCAATTTATGTCTTTATTTGTAGATAATTTCATTACATTGTAGGTAATGTTCACTTATGTTATAAAAAGTGAATATTGATGATCTCCTGAAAGCATGAGCAGGTGATAAAGTTCTGCTTATTTCTTCTACCAGAGGAAGAATCAGCTGAAAGAAGCGTACTGTAACAACCTGTGGGACGGAGCCAGGAAGACCTTAGCTACTCTGTGGGACGGACACGGAGCCATCTGGCATGGTAGGACACCAAGGTCCTTCATTTACGATGACACAGTGCTCTACATCCACTGCTATCAGTAACAGCCTCCATTTGGTTAAAGCCAGCACTGTACATGTGTATGAGTTCTCAGTCGTGCTTGAAAAGTTTGTTTGGTTAGTTTGGTTTGTCACCCCTCATCCAACAGGCGAGGTCAGTGCTAACAGCTGATGGAGAGCTTCGTGTAGCCTCTCGTGGGCTTGACATCAAACTGCAGGTTTCGCTTTCTGTCCTCGTGAATCCCGAGAACAAAACACCCAAACACAAGCTAAACCATGTAGTGCAGGGGTGGGCAACTCCAGGCCTCGAGTGCCGGTGTCCTGCAGGTTTTAGATGTGTCCATGATCCATCACAGCTGATTTAAAGGGCTAAATGACTCCTCAGCATTTCTGAAGTTCTCCAGAGGCCTGGTAATGAACTAATCATTTGGTTCAGGTGTGTTAATCCAGGGTGGGATCTAAAACCTGCGGGACACCGGCACTCGAGGCCTGGAGTTGCCCACCCCTGATGTAGTGTATGCTCTGTGTGTAGAAGCGAGAGCAAACAACCACTCTGCAAATGTTCAGCCATCTTAACAGGACAAGCACAGCTGTACACATACAGTCTGTTCAGGTTACCAGTGTTTAAATTTTGGAATATAGACACAGCAGTTGACTCACCATCGCTGTGAGACGCTGTGAACAACCGTTGTTGAGGCCACGCGGTGGCTTTGCAGATGATCCCTTTCTGGATGAGTCCTGTCCTTGGCTCATATGACCTCAATAACTCACATGATAGCAGGGTGGGGCATAATAGACCACACCCTGGTCGATACCTCGGCTCACACAATGACTCGTGTGATTAATAGTGGGTCACCAACCCTCACCTGAGACTCTCCATCAGGTGTTTTAGGACTGAAGAATCGCCTTGCAGTGGTGAAACCTCTCCACCAATCAAAAACTCTGAAGATGACAATAAAGTTCTAAGTGTCTAATGCAGCACCATCTATGCATAATTGATTGATCCCTAATGCTATCTGTGTACTAGGGTATGAGGTTCATGGTATGGAAAAGATTCCCGATGAAGGACCAGCTCTGATCGTGTACTATCACGGAGCCATTCCAGTCGACTACTACTACTTCCTCGCTCACGTTATCATTCAGAAGGGACGGACCTGCCACTCCGTAGCCGACCACTTCCTCTTTAAGATCCCAGGTACTGTACACAGCGACCCATGTGCAAACGTTAACACGGAGCACACACTAAACACTTTCCCAGAACGACTGTGTCATCATTCTCCAGATGCTCTTAAACCATGAAACCACTTGTAGGATATTCACTCAGTTTTTGTTTTATTTTTTCGCTGAAAACAAACAAACAACCCAAATCACATCATTTTCTTAATAGAAAATTTTCCTTCAACATACAAAGAAAGAAACTATGTTAGCTATCACCAGAATCTTTGCAGATCGAGAAGAGGAAGAAATGATGGAGATAAAATATGTGTTTTTCCAACCGAGGTCTGAAGCTGGAGAAGATTCCGGTGTTACGTAAATAACAACCTGCACTAAAGACGTCAACACGAGCAAATGATTATTAGTCAGTCTTACATGACATACATTGAAGGTGTGTTGGCCCACACAGAACCACAGGTGGAAATGTGATGTTTGCATCGCTGGACTAGGTGGTCCTTTGTGATTGGCTGATGTGCAACACAGGAGCTCCACAGACAGAGACTAGAGACGGCACGATACCACTTTTTTATGTCCGATACCGATATTATAAATTTGTATATCTGCCGATACCAATATGAATCTGATATAGTGTTTTTAATCAATAAAACTGTTTTTTTAATATATTGCTGCATTTTGTATAAGTTCATACTCAAGTTTAAATAAACAACAACACTAAAGCTATTCTGTTATACCTGTATGTAAAAAATACACTGCACAAAAAATATTTCATAGTTCAGCAACACTGATCAATCTAATAAACTTAAACCTGCTCCATCCTCCCTATTCTGGTATTTTAAAGAGTACTTAGCAGAAATATTAAGCAACCTAACTAATAGGGTTGCAAACTCCCAGCAAAAAAAATAGGGAACCACCCCCCACCCTCCACCTCATGATGCTTAATCGACATAATCAACTTTAATTTGATGCAGTGTGAAAAAAATGCACAGAAATCAATTATTTTTCAAGAATAATTAAATAGATTCAACATCTTTCTTCAACAGAATTGCAGACTGCACAGATGGTACCTTCCCAAAGGAAAAAGTACTATAGCTTACTAGGGTATATTAGACTTAACAGTTACTATATACAGTAATGGACTTCTATACATTTTACATCAGATTAAAACTTTGGGTGTAAGATTCAGATAATTATTTATTAAAAGCTCGACATTTTAAATGAGAATAAGAAAGAAAAGTATGTCTTTGTGCCCCCTTTTCCCTGTTAATGCCCTATCGGCCCCCCCTGGCTAAACTTTGCTAGATCCGCCCCTGCACAGTTACCAGCCGTCAGCTACGTAGAAAAAGATCCTGGTGTAGAAAGTAATATTAAATAAATTCTAACAACAGCTTCAAGCTTAAACGTGCTGCTGTTGTTCAGCCGCTGGTTTCCTCTTTCTGGTGCAAAGTGGGCCAAAAACAAACAAGAGAGACGGACTCGCACAGAAAAGCCGATCAGCTGATCATTGATCAGTTTCATCATTGAAGCAGCAGCAGGAGAGAGAGAGAGGCAGTCGCTCCATATATCGGTTGTTAAGCTTTAACGCGATGCTTCAAACATTCAGAGATGAACTTACACACTTGCTTTACTTCTCTCTGGGATAACTTTCGAGATGAAATGCTGGATTGGTAGCGAGGCTACAAATACACACAGTCGCTCTATCACGTGACCACACTGCTCCGACGTGCTACGGTTATGAGCTGAGTTACGCCGTGTCGCAAGTTTTGTGAGGTGCTTTTTTGATATTTAATGGATCGGATTACACTTTTTTATTTTTCTCCGATATCCGATCCAGTAATTGACGTCAGTATCGGACCGATACCGATACGTAATATCGGATTGGTCCATCTCTAACAGAGACTGCTATCTTCATTGCTGTTGGCCTTTTATACCTCAGACTTTCAGTACTCTGGGTCACGCTAGCTACAACAATACTGTGACATTTGTATTTTTATCTAACATTCCCACTCATTGGATGCACTGGGGATACTTTGAAACATGGGCACAGTATGGTAAAGTATTGGTGATTACCTGTGACCGTCTGTTCCTTACTCTGTCGTCTTGTCTCATTACTGTAGGTTTCAAATTGCTCTTGGAGGTGTTCAGTGTGATCCATGGTCCTCAGGAGGAGTGTGTTCGAGCTCTGAAGAACGGTCACCTGTTGGCGATTTCTCCGGGAGGAGTGCGGGAAGCTCTGTTTAGTGATGAGACCTACCCTCTCCTCTGGGGCGAACGGAAAGGCTTTGCCCAGGTCGCCATTGATTCTCGAGCGGTGCGTTGTTTCAGTCTAATTTAGTCACATTTCAGCACAGTAATGTTTTTGAACCATCAACAGGCCACAGCAGGACATTCCTGCCCTATTTGATACAAGTGAAACTAAACTTACAAAATGTGACTGTCACATTATTTTAATACTTTATCACTGACAAACAAAACTAACAAACTGGAAGCTGAAGGCTCTGCCTCCCACGCTGCTTTTAAATACTTTAGGAACTACAAGTAAACCAACAGTCTGAGAGTGAAGTGCTCTAACGGGGTGATACGGTACTATGAGGTCATTAAGATGAGGTGGGGGCTGATTATTGTGAGGAGAGGGATTTTAAATTCTGATTTAACAAGGAGCCAATAAAGAGAAGCCAGTATGGACAGAATATGCTTTCTTTATCGACTCCCTGTCAGTGCTCGGGCTGTCTGTGCTGTGTTTTAGACAGATGTGACTGAAACCACTGCAGCACAGTACCTGTAATACCTACAGCATGTTCTCTGTCATGAAATATCATGGTCACCAGTGTTGAACGCTGCACTGAGGTCCAGCAGGACAAGCACAGAGATGAGTCCACTGTCAGAGGCCAGAGGAAGATCGTTTGTAACCTTCACTAAAGCTGTTTCTGTGCTGTGATGAGCTCTGAAACCTGACTGAAGCTCCTCAGATACACACTGCTCAGGACGTGTTTGAGCAGTCTTGCAGGGGTGGGGTCTAAAACACACGGCGATGGCTTGAAGGAAGTCGTTATAGAAGTTAGCTCGACCAGAATAAATATCAGTGGTACTGAAAGTTGCTGTATTTAATGTTACATCTGTGAGATGGTTGATTCAGTTTTTCTCTAATGGTTAAATGTAATTTGTGAAGACGTTCATGAAGTCATTGCTTGTTGTCATTAGAGGACGGCTCTAAGCTCAGACTTCCTGTCAGCCTGCTACAGTGAGGGAGAAACCCAGGCTTGTTTGACTTTCTTCACTCAGTGATGAATAAGAAGATGCTGCAGCTTAACGGAGGGCTTTTCATAAAGTCTTTCCCAGGCGAAATAAAGATCCTCTTACCCCCCCAGACAAGTTTAAATATATTATGTGTAGCAGCCGCTACATGTACACTCTTGTTTGCAAATACATGCATATCTGTGAACTGTTCATCGTACAGCTAACAGTGACAGATTGCTTTGTTCTTGTACAATAAACATGTAGCTTAGAAAGAAAAATCGATTTCTGTTATTAATGTGTTTATGAACAGCCATCTCAATATAGCTATATATATCAATTCTAATAAAATATTTTACATTTCTAACATTTAATGATAATAATTGTGTGGTAGTACCGTGTCTCTGATCATCTCTTTGTGTTGCACTCTCTGTTTTTCAGCCAGTAATTCCAATGTTTACTCAGAATGTGCGGGAAGGCTTCAGATCTCTGGGAACGCTCAGTAAGTTTTGACACTCACAGTATTACTCCAGGAAAACTGCTGGTGTCTCGCATCACCCCAGGAGTGGTTCAGTTTCAGGATGTGAGCCAGTCTGTTCCCGGGGTTAGGGACGCATGTTCGAGGGAGCACAGCACATATTTGCAACCATCATTGAAAAAGACTGAAAGTCGTTTATCGTAGTTTTTGATTTGCTGCTGTGTTCTGTTGTAGAGTTCAGGGAATCAAAGTAAGTGTGAATGTTTGTTGCAATGCAGCGTCTGAGTTAAAGCCTTCGTTAACCTAGAACAACACTGTGGAGCTCAGCGGGGCTTGATCACAATAATGATACTGTCCTGTGTAATAATGTATTTTCATACATTTTGTTTCTGTAACAAAGCACTGCTGTCGAGCTCGTATCGAACACGCTCTTTCTCTGATGTGTCTATCCAGGATTTTTCCGCTGGCTCTATGACAGATTTCGTCTCCCTATAGCTCCTGTTTATGGTGGATTTCCTGTGAAGTTTCGAACCTTCCTTGGGGATCCCATCCCATATGACCCCAACATAAATGCTGCTGAACTAGCACAGAAAGTGAGTAAGCTTTTGCTTCCTTTCACTCTAACAGCATGGCAGTGCTTTGGTTTGCACAGCAAGGTTCTGGACCTTCTCAGAGCCTTACTGTGTGGACTTTCCATTTCTCCCTGTGTGATCTACTCTGGGTACTCTGTTGGTCATTCAAACTTGGATGTAGGTATGGATGTGACCACCTCCTGGTCCAGGTTCTTCCTCCTCAGGACACGGAGGAAGTGCAGCTGCTGCTGGGCGCAGATGTGGCTGCTCAGAAAGCTGAAGGTAGAAAGTTCACCTGTTCAACACCAAAGCAGCAGGTCCGCGGCTCCGTACAGAGACCTCTGGATAAGGCTTAGTGTTCCCAGCTTGGCCTGTAGCTGCTAACTAACTCTGGGTCGAGCCAAGCGGAGAAATGGAGACAGGCGTGGGAAGACTGCACCAGCAGATTTTCTCATATTCAACTGTCATCGTCTCGGTTTTGAACTTGCTATAATAATTCAAATGTCTTCAGTTGTTAGTAAGTTAAAGTCATCATCGTGTAAACTTGATCTACTGCCCACTAATCTTGTTAATCTTTCGCTCCGCTGTCTTGGCTCGTTGGTCTTTAAATAACACAGTTAGTCTACGTCAGCAGCAGGTTTCACAATATGAACAAACACGATGTCTGCTTGAAATACACGAGGACGTACATGTAAGCTTTACCCTCAGTGAGCAGTCCTTACCTTTAAATCTAGCCTCTCCTCTTCCTCTCCTGCCCCGTCTTTCTCATCTTCCTCCACCTCTGAGTGAAGTTGTCTCGTTCTTTTCTCTCCCTGTGAAATCCAGCATCTGAACCTTGACTGGATAGATGTCGAAACACCGCAGCTACAACTTCTGGACAGCTGTGGCCGTTCCAGTGTTGTTCCAAAAAAAGAAAGAAATGAAATAAAAGAAAAACACCGGCCCACTTAAGCCCCTGACAACACACACGTCTCTTTTTATGCGACATTATGTCGCTCATAAACGATCAGCACTGCTGTTGTGTTACTGTTCAGGCTCAAATCGCTTTGATGTTTGGAGGCTCGGAGTGATGTAAAAAAAACCTCCCCTCAAATCTGTCGAACCAAAAGTAATGAGCTGGTTTTGAAAATGCAAGAAGAAAAAAGTACAGATGTCTCTTTAAACAAATTTCCCACGTGTGGGAAATTTGTTTAAAGAGACATCTGTACTTAAAGATACTTAAAGTACTTTAAGTACTTAAAGATACTTAAAGATACTTAAAGATAAAGGTTATCTTATCTTATCTTAAAAATATAGGAAGTAAAAGTAGTCAGAAGAATAAATACTCTGAGGAGCAGCCGGTCAGAGAGTCCTGGATGAGGCCGGGGTGTCGCTCTGTAGGCCTGCTTAATGGCACTGTTGACTCAGTCCAGTGTCGTCCCCCCCCCCCCAGTAGGATACTTAACGTTGGTTATAACTTAATAGCTGATTAAACTGGTGGAGGATGTTTTGCTTTTCCACCAAACGTTAATCTTCAAACAATCTATGTTTGCGTTTTTACTCTGAAGGTGCAGCAAGCAGTCCAGTCTCTGATAGACACACATCAGCAAATCCCAGGGAGCATCCTGAGAGCCTTGTTGGAGAGATTCCACACCAAATACAAAGCCCACTAACATCAGTGACACTACAACAGAGACAAACTGTCCAGTATGTGACCAAACCCATGCATCAGGTGGCTGCAGTCTGCACAGGTTTGGTGCTGATGTGCATCTGAAGTCCTTGATGTTTTTATTGCACAGCTCTGATATGTATTTTTGTTTACATAGACTCCCTTTTATATATATTCGTATTCAAGACGAATCTGTTGAAATTAAGACTTTATAAGATGCAGTCAGGTTTCATAATAATATCTCTCAAAGGACGGAAAGAAAAGCAAATATTTATTTGAATTCAGACACATTATTGTGACCGTAGATGTAATGTTTTTGTGTTTGTGTGGGAGAAAAGGCAAATGTCTTCATTTAAAAGTGCATTTACATCAACAAGTGATTCATAATGATTTTTAATAAATAAATGTGTTTTGTTGTCGATGCCTTTTGAGTTGATCAGTGATTAGTTCAGACCAATCAATCAATATTTCTTATAGAAAAGGTATGTGTGGATGCTTTATGACAAGAAAAGCTGAACATTAATATTTCACTACAAGTCCACACGTCCACCAACCACTGAAGTACTGTATCGTTCTCAGACACTCAGGTACTGAAGGATGTCCTGTAAAGCAGCGGTCTCCAACCTTTTTTGCGCCACAGACCGGTTTATGCCCGACAATATTTTCATGGACCGGCCTTTAAGGTGTCGCGGATAAATACAACAAAATAAAACTAGTACAGAAAATAGAAGATTTATTCATAACACACGTGAAAAGAGCCAGGAAAAGAGAGTAAACGATAAAAACGATAACATAAAAACCCTGAAAACCACACATTTCACACCTGAGCCTCAACTCTTGCGGCCCGGTACCAAACGACTCACGGACCGGCACCGGTCCGAGGCCGGGGGTTGGGGACCGCTGCTGTAACGTATAGAGATGGAAAGGATCCACAGTAACATGCAGCTCTCTGAGGAAAGCTGTTTTGTTTTTTATGTTTCAGTACAGCTGAACACTACTAGCTACAGGCGAGTTTGGATATACAAAGAAAGGACGCAAGGAAAGAGTTCTTAGTTTCTTACTAAGGCTGGTACAGTATTTTCTTTGTATCATTATTATTATTCAATTTTAAATAGAATAGTTAAAAAAAACAAAGCCCTAATGATTTAATTCCCCAAAAACGTTAATGGGAAAATAGGTCTTGGTGCTGGATGACCTCACAGGAAATGACAAATCGGGGATCCGTGTGGAGGGGCGAGCGCCTGATGTCCAGGCCTGGATTTATGGGGCCTAACAAATGACATGTAAACGCCACAGTGTGGATTTTTATGTTGCTCATTTTTGTCTTCACACACAAGAGCAAAAAGCTTTTTCTGAAACTGGAGATCAATGGTGCCCAGCTGGTTTTCACTGTTTAGTATTGAGACAACAAATATGTTATCTGGGACTTCTGATTGCACAAAGTAGACATTTGAATTCTGACTCCCTGACTCAGAAGGTGAAACTGACGGCTTCCCAAAGATGGAGTAAGAAAGGCGTTGGACTGGAAGAACTGCGCTGAAGTTCCAAAGCAATGACTGATCATGAGAAAACAAAGTGTTTAAAGACGATGATGTTGAACATGACGGTGTTTGATTGTTGCTGTAACAAATGCAACATAGCTAAAAACAGCCTCTGCTGGTCATATCAGTGTGCACACTGCATGTCAGTTTGGTGATATCAGTTTTACCCCGGGCTCTTAGCTGCTTTGTTATTAACTAATCATTTGTAACGTAAAGTCAAATTTGGTTGTGGTTTGGAGATGCAGTTACAGTTTGTGTGTTTGTGTGTAGTTGCTGTATTTTTCAATATCTAAACATGTGAATATTGTGATTCAGCAGATCTTTTGTCACACTGGTGTCACTGCCAGCTCAGAGACATGTCTCACTGGAGCATTAATGTCTGCACACTGGTTGCCTTTTTCCATGTCACTAGTGTTGAGGTCTAACATGTATTTTTAATGTTTGACAGTGTAAAGTATGTGTTAAACTTTTAAATACTGAGAGCTACTCCAGCCTGTTAATAAATGTCTTTACTGAGATGTTGCTTTGTTTGTTATTTGAGGAATGAGTAGTTCATAGCACAGAGAGTCAGACGATGGATTTATGTTTTTTATTACAAGATCAATAAAGAAGCAAATTACTATGAAACTAGTTGTTGCTCTACAGTGAGTGGCCCAACACGTAAAAGACGGGAAAAGCAGTGCATGCATCAGCACGGCGATCTGTAACTTAAAACAAGGCATGAGCATAATGAGCTGCTCACCTCAGCAGGAGTATCCCTCCTACTTTACTCCCAGCTTTTAGTTACCTGTTAGGTTAGAGTCCTACAAAAAGGTCCACAGCATAATCTGTGCAGGAGCAGCAGCAGTTCCAGATGGGAGCATCCAGTCCACACGGGTTTCCCTCGGCAATGACACAAAGCTTTCTCCTAAAGGGTAAACACAACTTTTAGCATCACAAGCAAAACATTTTCCTGTGGCTCCAACAGAGGGCTTTGAAACCCACATCAGTCACTGCTCACACCAGGAATCCCCCACCCCCACATCCAAGTTCATAACACAACATCGAGGCCGAATTACTGCACCCGTGCTTGTAAAGAAGAAAACATACAGGAATGTAAACAGAGTTTTTGATGCTTACATTATTTTAACTTTACAAACAAAAAAATAATTTCAACAAAAACCAAAAACTACCAGGATCAATATCATCAGCCCCCCTGATGTTCTTTCTGCAAACATGGCCAAAGAGAGCTAGTTTCATCTGAGAGGACGTGCTTCCTGTCTGCATACTCCATCTCCGGTTGGCTGATTTTCATTGTGTGCAACCTTTTCTGTGCAGGCTTCGAGTGACTCTTTGGTTCCCTGCCTCTGCCGGGCTTGTTCTGTACTGTGTGGCTCTCTTTGAATCTCTTGATGATTCTTCACACTTGGAAATACTTTGATAACTTTGTGCATCCATCTGCTGCAGTGTGAGCACTTCTCAAGGTAGGTTGGCTCAAAAGATGAGCCAGACATACATTTAGACACGTGGAAGTGTTGGAGATTTTTGATTATGTCTTTTGCCATATCTTAGTTGCAATGAATCCGAGCAACTCTGCACACAGCAGCCCGTCCTGTGCTGTCCAGCCCCTTGGGTTAGGAGGTTAGTTGTGTAACACCGATAGCCTGTGATGGTCATTTGATTTGTGGCTCCTCCTGGAGAATCTACCACCAATGAGGTTTTGACTCGAAAATGAAATGAACAAACGTGAGGCCAGATAAATGACCACAGTGTACTTTATTAACTGAATTTTGGTAGTTTGTGTTGCATTAGATTCAAATAAAAATTTACAAAAATCTCATATGTACAAAAAACTCATTTTGATTATTTTTTTTTATTATTCTTGAATTATTATTTTTACAATAAAATGTACTTTTCCCCCATTGAATGCTTTCATCACACAATGCAACGTACTGATAAGACCAATATTACTTTGTCTTAAACATGTTTTTTCTTTTGTTAAATACACCACATACACCACATTTATCTTTTTTTCCTCTGTGTTTTACTGTCATATTTATAGCCATCATGGTGGCATCGCACCTCTAGAGACACGCTTCACAGTCAGAACTCAAAAAGAGAGGAATGTTCTTTTTTAACATGTACACATTGCATACATTTATTTACAGATAAGCATTTAAGTTGTTCAGTTCACTATCTGTGGTATTCCATGTTTAACCAACTCTAAACAGACATCTGTACAGAATGATTATACAGGATTGTTTTTAACCTGCTGGTCACTGTGCTTGTACTAAGACTGGACGATCCCGCCTGGAGCTGCTGCTGCTGCACAAATGATGCTGACCATTCAAACTTCATAGTGTCGTTTTTGCCTGGTTCAATAGCTAAATTCTGTATTGTGCTTGGCAGGTATGTCCGGACCACAGCAGCAAAGCTTTGATCTGTTATAGATGATGAATAGAGACAGTCGCTGGACCACAATACTAACAGAAAAACACAATCTATTTATCTCATCTTATAGTGATAGTAGAATATGTGCTCGTCATGTGGAACCACTCCAACAAGTCTTTAAGACTAAATGCAGATATGAGAGTCTTGTGTCTGTGCTTTGGTTACATTTAGCCAACTACAAACATTTTACTTTAGTGGATGGAGACTTTGTAGCCTTGTTTCCCATTACACACCAATAGCAACCTCCCCAAATCTGGCTCCCGGTCAAATATCCTGTTAAGTCTCGCGTCAAAAACATGTTGGATCGTCAAACTAAATTGAGTTTTTGCAATGGCTCTATGATTGTTATATTACATATTTAACACGTGTCATGTGTCCCTGATGTTTGTAGACTTTGTCTATGGAACAGACTGGTCAAAAAAATCTTGTGCTATTAATAAATAACCGTTACTGGGAACATCTTACTCACACATGGAACATTGTTTTTCTTAGAGTCAATAAAAGTGCAAGAAAACAAGGAGGAAGAGTAAACCAAGAAACAAACTGCAATATAACTGCAAGCTTTCTATATTTTCTATTGCTTCTTCATTCCTTTATAGCAGTATTGTGCGACTGATGTTACAAATAAACGCAGTCTGAGGGGTTTAGATGATGCAGTACTGAGGAACAACTTCTTTGCTAGACTAGTATAAGCACAGTAACTGCCACATATTCTGCTATCGAGTGTAAAAACATCTCTCTCTCTCTTTCACACACAGACTCACACGCATGCTTTCCAGTTTAACTAGAAAACTAAGCTGTGCCCTAAGTACAGCCTCATTGTCTCCTGTGTGATGATGTCGAAATGAAGGAAAAATCAAAATAGATTTTATTTTAAGGCAAATTAAACACAGAAAGCAGCTAAAACAAAGTCATGAACACTGGAGCACATCTGGGATTTATAAAATGCCAAATCACAGCGGCAGTCGCTTCAAAGCGCTTTATATTGTAAGGTCGACCCTACAATAACACATACAGAGAAAAACCCAACAATCATATGACCCCCCCATGAGCAGCACTTTGGCAACAGTGGGAAGGAAAAACTCCCTTTTAACAGGAAGAAACCTCCGACAGAACCAGGCTCAGGGAGGGGCGGGGCCATCTGCTGTGATTGGCTGGGGTGAGAGAAGGAAGAAAGATTAAAGACATGCTGTGGAAGAGAGACAGAGATTAATTGTTATAAATAATAATTAAATGTAGAGAGGTGTATAAACACATGATGAGTGAAGAAGAAACACCCAGTGCATCATGGGAATCCCCGGCAGCCTACGTCTATTGCAGCATAACTAAGGGAGGATTCAGGGTCACCTGGTCCAGCCCTAACTATATGCTTTAGCAAAAAGGAAAGTTTGAAGCCTGATCTTGAAAGTAGAGATAGTGTCTGTCTCCTGAATCCAAACTGGAAGCTGGTTCCACAGAAGAGGGGCCTGAAAACTGAAGGCTCTGCCTCCCATTCTACTTTTAAATACTCTAGGAACAACAAGTAGGCCTGCAGAGCGAGAGCGAAGTGCTCTAATAGGCTGATATGGTACTACAAGGTCATTAAGATAAGATGGGGCCTGATTATTTAAGACCTTGTATGTGAGGAGCAGGATTTTGAATTCTGGACTTAACAGGAAGCCAAAACAGGAGAAATCTGCTCTCTCTTTCTAGTTCTAATCAAACAAGGTCTAAAGTAATATTTTTTTAGTTGAACCCTAATCCTCAGTTCTGTTCAGGTCAAATGTTTATATAGTCAAATCACAACAACAGTCACCTTTATATCATAAAACCAACAATCAGCCCATTTGCAGTGCCATATAACTGTCATACTACCAATGTTATACTTTGGAGGGTTTTCATAGGGTTTAATATTTATTGTTATTTGGAATTCATTTTAATTTTGGTAAACATATTTTCATTTAAACAGAAGTGTCAACTGTGTTACAGAAGAAAATGAACTGACAGACAATCTGTAAGGGTTTGTGCATGAGACAAACTGAGGTAGCTTCATGTTTATATCAATGTACTGTGTGTGTTGATGGTGATGAGCAAACTAAGGCTACAGCTGATTTTTGAACTGAAAACTAAAATAAATTGCTTGGATGTCTAAGAAATACAAGGCTGCATTTGCAACCCTGTTTCCAAAACAACAGAGAAACCTTGGTACTTAACTCAGCACAGAAGAAAGCATCAATGAAAAGTCTGCAAATGGGGAACCATATCTACAACAATGAATGTAGCTGAAAGCTGTTCTGGAGCGACATTTACTAAAATTACGTCACTATCCAAATACCTGTGGACGAACTGTCTTCAGAGATGTGCAAGTTATGCATGGCATGCGCATTAACGCATACCACCACATCTGCTGGCTTTTGAACTGCGCACCAGGATGGTGCAGTGGTTGAGAACCATTTCTACATTTGCCACCTCACATTTTGTTAGTTTGACACATGCTGTGCTATTTTTAATTAAATATACATGTTTAGACTTTGTCTTTATCCGCTGACAGCCCAGTTACTGATTTATTTTATTCACTTTTTTCATTAAAAAAGACGAGCAGTAATTTCACTTTTTTTTTATTTGAAGGGATCATGGAAGTTCTTTCCACAGCCTGCTCTTGGTTTCCTGAACAGCCAGTATGTACAGCCTTGTACAGTATATGCCTTTCTCCAACAGTATTGTGCCATCATGAAACTTGTGTCTTTATCCCAAGAAAAAAACAAAATGACAAAAGACAAACGCTTTACATCTACATCACATCACCGAGTTTGTTCCCAGATAATAGGTCTGGAAAAGTCCCTTCTTTAAATGGAAAATCATCAGGTTTAGTATATTTTAAAGCGTTTAGTCTTTTTAGTTGTCACTAATGTTGATTCAGCTACTGTAGTATTACTTCAGGACATCTGTCTTATGTTATGCAGCTTCTGCTGAACCCACAAAAGCTTTATGTATACAACATTTTCACTAAAGCACAAGTGTATTCCTCCACCAAACACAAGTCCATGGAAATCTCAAAGTAACCGAAAAATAATGAAGAGACATTAATGCCACGATAGAGATTGGTCTCCTGAAAATATCTGATGGAAACTCTGCGGACACACACACACACACACACACACACACATAAAAGTATCTGTTGTCAAACTTCAGCCGTAACACTGTTTGCATGTTTTTCGGTCCAACTGCTCAGTCTGAATAGATTTTTGCAGCCAGATTTTTATGCCAGATTTGTGGATTTATATCTACTTTGTGGATTTTTGTTCATTACAGTACAGTTTAAAATTGTGCAGTGTATGACTGTTTAAATGAAGATATCCGATCGTTAAGTGATGACGCGACGAATCCTACTTCCGGGCCTAAAGTAGTCTGCGTTTAATATGGCTTTTGTGTTGTTAACATGTTTAATGTTTTGTATTTTCTTCTATTTAATCTCAAAAAGCTCCTAAAACAGTCAGTGATCCCTGTTGACCTCCTCGGCTTTTATTACCGCTAATCATTTATTTAAGCTCAGTTTTTAAAACCTTAGGATGTAACTACAGCCCAGCCCATGCAGCAGTATATGAATGACTAACCTCGTATTGTGGATGGATTATCTCAGTTGTTCTCCTGGCTGAAGTTTGGTCCTTTTACAGCATCCTGCCATGCGATTACATTTGTTCCTGACCACCGAGAACACTCACGTTAACTTTATCGAGTGGAAAAAAAGTTAGCTTGTTTATATTATGCTAACATAGCTGTGTCGCTAGCGGTCACGTAGCACAACATTATATACCAGCTAGCCCAACTCCAGTAACCCTACAAACGTCACTGCTGTTTAGTTTTCTGTCTTCATTTATGCTGGAAGTGATAGCAGAGCTGTACGTTTGAATTTGTTTCCAAAACCCCGCAGTCAGGACATGCTATATTGTATTTAGATAGAAGCTAGCGAGCTAACTCCCTGCTAACTTCTAACTCCGTTAAATGTCATAAATTCTGTTTTCATGGATGCCTGGATGTTAAACTCAGTTGTTACAGCTGGTAGAGCAGAACGCTGATCATTTTATTAAAGATGAAAGACTTTAGACAGTTTTTCAACTCTCAGTAATGCCACAGTGATCGTTTAATATATGGACCTGCAGCGGAGTTTAGGCCCAGACACGGCTAGTGACGTCAGACTGAACAACCGGATACTTAGGAAGTCTCCAATGCATTACTTTATAATAATAACAACTAACAACAAAAGTTCAAAGACTATAGTGAAACTCGAGAAATACAGCAAAAGGTTTTGCAAAAAGATTTTCTAAAACGTGCAAAACCACTGCTATAGTCCTTTAAAAGTATGTCTCTGGTAAAACACAGAGGCTTTGGTGTAAGCACAAAAATATCTCTGTATCATTCAAGATTGCTTCTTTGAATTTTTATTTTTTTTACAGAAAACATTTTTGACTTGTCACCACGAAGAAAACACAATTATTAAAAAACCCTAACATACAGTATGTAATTGAAACTTCTATCTAATAGAAACCACAAAAAATGGTGGGAATATGCCAGCACTTACCAGCATAGTATATTCTGCATACACATCATCTCTCAACTCCGTTACATGTTCCATATGTACGGAGTGGAGAGATAGTCTCTCACTCAGAGAACCAAGGTTACAACGTAACCGTATGTTCTCTAAGTGGTCTGTATGTAATGAGTCTTTTTTCACTTATATCTTTGTTTAAACAAGATTATGACGGCCATTGTGCTGTGGTTTCAAATAACTGCAATGACCGGTCAGAATATCCTGATTGTCATTGACTCGCTTTGTGTTTTTCTCTTTCCATGCTTTAAAACAAAGACTTTGGACAAAAGACCACCTAGAATTCCTTTTATCTGGACACTATCTTAGCACAGGAAAAGCAGGGAGAGAGCTAAAATTCTTGACTAACAGACAACTAGTCTGTGAGGTGATATTGTCTGTTGCTGCCCAGCGTTTCTTGAAGTAGTTATTTGGGTTTTGAGGGTAAGCAGAATGGTGCAAATGGGATGGCACAGCACCTCCTTATGTCTTCAGTCTCTGGTTCTCTCTTTCAGGGATGTTCCAAGGTTTGGAATACACACTACGCCAACCGGGCCAGGACAATTTAACTGGTAACATCAAACACAGACTTACACTGTATTGTTCATATTTTTTTTATAGTGCACTGCACAACATCGTAATGCACTATATCAACCTTTGAATTTTGTAAGACCCCCTGACTCCCCTGAAACTTGCTACCAGGTTGGAACAAACTTTTGGGAAAAACAGGCACCATCTTGATCCAGGTCATCCATGACAAGCTACTGGAAGTACAGCATAAACATTTTGGACAATAACAATACCTCAAACAATAAATGTTTGAGGTATTTTCATAAATGTAATTTCCACATAACAACACTATGTGTGTATGTTTAATCCTTAGATTGGACTTTGAAAAATGTTTTGGCCCCAAATGCCACCTGTTGGAGCTTGTACATGTTTACAGTTTCATCATTTAACACCACCAACAGTCATTTTTGGATAACCGCCTGTCACAGCATTGCATTTCTGATTGAGTAAATCCTACATTCTGTTATTTACACTTACTGTCTTTGTTACCCACATTAAAAGTTACGTATGGAAAATGTTTGTATTCCATCGCTTATTTTCCAGAGCATGATATGCAGTATGATCAGGATCAAGCTTTTTCCCGTCTAGGTTTCTCATTTGCCAGTGGACACTTCCAGCACTATGCTAACCTGTGTTGTGTGGTTTGGTTGGTAAATGTGTTGAGTCAAAATGTAAAAGTGTTTTTAAAAAGGGCAATTTTTCCTCGAAAGGTGACGTGTGTCACCTGCATATCTACAGCAAAGATTCTATTCAGACAGACTAACCACACGTTCCTTTGCTTGTTTTGTGTAAACTACACACACACACACACACACACGACTTCAGTAGCCTCTACTTCATCTCTAAAAGAAAAATGCTGCATGTTGCATGAGTACTGTACATCCTGGTTGGAATGGCTGAGTTGGCTGCTTGTCTGTGTTTCGATCCTCAACTCATTTCCATTTCCGGTATCATCCTCTCTCCTCTCTTCGGTTCATTGGTGTCTGGCACATGCTTTCACCCTCCACATACAAGCAAAGATTAGAATAATTCTGCAGCTGTGTTTCTGAGGCCGGACTACAAATAGTTATGTTGAGCTGCCAGGAAGATTTTTTTTCTTGGCATTGAGTAGGTTTGAATGCTTCCTTTTCAGAACGAGACCATTAGCTAGTATTTGACCTTTGCCCCCTTTTCTTGCTTCCTATTATAACATTCAGCCTTATCATTTAGTATGTTTTGCCCAAACAAAACACCATCACTGCTCATAGATGCTACTTTGACCACTGTCTTCTCGTAGGTCACTTTCTGGCCATCTTCCAGTGTTGATCACAGATGTCCAATAACACTGAAAGGTCTAGCTCAAAGAAGAACCTTCTGGATTATGCAGGCACCCCTAAGTTGTTTGTAGAGGAATCTAGAGGATGTTCGCAATGACCCTTTTTGGCACTAAGAGAAAGAGAGTAATGACTGAGAGTACCCACCTGCTTGTGGCTGATATGGTAGGACACCAACACATTTGGACAAGTTTGAGTTTGTAATTCAGGTCTCCTTTGCTTTATGGGAGTATCTGGTGACTTAAAAGCTGTCTGTATGGACAATGGACAATTCCAGTTTTTATTATTTTACAGCTTTAACCTAACACCCCTTAACACACTCGCTTCTTGTTGTTCTAAGCAGAGTATCATTTAGTATTTAGTCCATAGAAGACAGCATTTACCAGATAAGTGTTAGTAAAAATAATAGCAACAATCTGACCAGCAGCAATCCCACCAGTGACACTAACTGAACTTGTACTGAGTTGGTCATCCAGCCATTACCAACAGTCCCGACTGTTTCTCGACACTTCTGATACCCGGAAATAGAAAAAGAACGACAGCAATGGGAGATGAAGATATTGAAACTGATGCCAGTAACAAATTCTTATTGCCACAGTTCCTGTTGCTGTTTATGTGATCACAGGATACCACTCTGTTGCTGTGCCCCTGCAGGGTTTCCGAAAGCTGAGCGGACTATAGAGTGGTCTCATATTCCAACCGCTCCTGTACCAGAGCATCATCTTTGTACTGCAGCCGTGGAGGAGTCAATGAGCAATCTATGGCCAAAATTGCTTTGCGAATGCTGCGGTCCAGAACATGACGCTCCCAGGCTGGATAGCGGTTCCTACAAAGGTCGATCTTGATGACGTTCTCCTCTAGGCGTGGAGCACGAGAAGATGGCGTTGATGGCACTGTGGATCGGACCTGAAACACTGGCATGCAGCCATCTCGCTCAGAATACTTGCCCATGTCGTGTCGTTCTAGAGTTGTGGTAGCACCTCGGTTCGAACGCAGTGAATTGGTGGCACCTTCTGATGGCAGAGTGGAGAACTGAGCAGTAGGGTCCAGGTCAAGGCCTTGGCCACTTGGTGAGTGTCCAAAGCGTGGCCCGTTCGGGTGAAAAAAGGCATAGTACATGAGCATGAAAACAATGCCGGTGAGGAAACTGCTGAAAATGACGCAGAGTGCTGGCACTGCAAAGGCGTCAGTATTTTGAGGAAATCGGTAGAGATACCACAACGCACTGAGAGCAGTGTTCTCCATCAAGATTACCAGGTAATAGATAAAAAGCCGACACCTGCACAGAGACATGAGACATAATAACAACAAATAAATGCAAGTACTTGCAAGCAACTATCACTAAAATAAGCTGAAGGTCTCACAGATTGTTTCATATAAGTCACAGAGTTGTCAGTACTAAATGCTAAAGTTGAAACTAGCTCAAGAAACAGGAATGGCTGAATTTCTTTTGCATGGTAGGACATTGCAACTATTGCACTTACTGCAACCAAGCGCTTATAAATTTAAAAATGACAGAAGAGTTAAAGCATTGTTTAAAAATTGAACCACATCACACTGATGGAGAACGTCTTCACCTTGTCCGTCCTTCCTTGACGTTGAACCAGGAAAAGATGTAGATTATGCCCACCACCATGTCAAACACAATCTCTTCCCACTTGCTGATGCAGAAGTCTGTCTCACAGTGGACAATCCAAAAGGTCATGATGCACCAGTGCAGGACGATGAAGATGCCAAAGTAGAGTTGAAATACAGACGCAAACAGAGCAAAGGTGATAACTCGGGCTGCTATGGTGAAGAAGTGCCAACAGAACTGGATAATCACTGCCAGATAGCTGATGGGCTTCTTGTCATCCCGAGACTCTCGCAGGGCCTTCTGATAGGAGGCCAGGGCCCAGGCCATAGAGACGAGGGAGGCTGCAGCTGTCATTCCTAAAGAGACAGAGAGAAAACAACCGTTTTCACAACCACATAACGGA